ATTCAATGGTATGAGACTCAGAAGGAAAAGTGGTGTAAGAGGACTGAGCAGCTTCCCAAGGTCCACCTGCAACTGCAATCACAAATGATCCTCTCAGGAAGGAAAGAGGGGTGGCACTTAAGTAACCAATATGGCTCCACAGAGATCTTTTGCAGGTCAGATTTTTAAAGGACATGTAAAAAAAGATAGAAAGAGGATATGTAATGAAGGACTGTAAGAGAGTGGAATGAATTCATAAGAATAATGACAGGAGAGCTACAAAATGCCAAATTAGCTAAAGCTTGCCAAAAATAAATAAATATACCAAAAACAAACACACAAAAAACACTAAAGACAGCTATCTATTCTCTGTTTGTAAATTATGTTTAAGGCCCTAACACCATTCCCATTTTTCTAAAACCACCACAAAAATGAATAAGCAAAAAAAGACAAATAATACAATAGCAGCAAAACAAAGAAGGTTTATGGTTAATAGCAGTAGATAATAAAGAGAAAAGCAAACTCTCTCACTCCCATCTTGTTCCTGGCTTCTCTATCAAGGACAATGATTGTCAGACTGAAAAAGGAGAGAAGAAATTAAACTATAAAATGGGTAAAAAGATGTAAGACAGCAAATCACCGATCCACTCCAAATGAATTGCTCTACTGGGATGGGCAAATCCCAGGAAGCCAACAGACCTTATAGGCAGGCCATGGAATTGCTTTCTATGGACAGCTAAAGAATCACAAAGAATGTGGAGATACTAGAAGATTAGATGACAAATGTAGTATAAATTTCCAAAAAGGGAAAGACGTCTGACTTCCTAAACTACAGAACAGTGATTTGGAAAGATATTCAATGGATTACTAAAGAGATGGTCTCCAAGTATATTAAAAAGAAAGTAGATACCACTGGGAGGTAGCTTAAATTTGCTAAGAATAAATAAATTAAGTTGTACTAGCATAGTTTTCTCTAATAGATTTACTACAAATTAAAAGATCCTTGGCTAGAATTGGCATTCATGAGATCAAAATAAGAGAAATATGGGCTGAATCACAATCTAACTGGGTGGCTTAGTAATCTGTTGAATAATACCAAAGAATGGAGATTCCTGACAACATGAATCTATAGGGAGTTTCTATGTGTCATGTCATAGGGCCCTGATGCTTTTCTCAGAAACATGGATGACACACAGAAGGCAGGCATGTTAAATTTGTAAACAATGAGAAAGTGGAAAGTAAATATGTTGCATGACAGAATCAGGAACCATATAGATCAACTGGTTATAATGGCAGGCAGGATTTCCAACTCTCAAGTCAATCTCTGGAGAAGATTCTGTAACCTTCTTCAGAAAAATCATAAAATAGTTTAACAATGACCACTTGGCAAGGACATTGTTGAGGTGATTCAAGCACCAAATGGGTGGTTAGCTAAATGACCTTTAAGGTCTCTGCCAACCCTAAGTTTTTATGACTCCAAGTTTTAAGAATCTTTTTCATTTTCTGAGATCTCCAGAAGAGATTTCCCAGTCTTCCTTGCCTCCCTTGGTAACCCACAGAATGTTTAACAACACCAAGGACAGCATTTCCTCTTATCTTTTTCTTGATCTTAAAATATTTTTAATTGTTTTTTTTTTAACCATATGTTTTTGTCTTCACAATATTCCAGGGTAGCTCTTGAAAGATTTAAGTTGGGATCACAGCAAAGCCACTGAAATGCTGTCTAAAATGACTAAAAAATTCCCTTCATGTGTTTTTTATAAAAAAGAAAATATTAAAAAGTAATTTTCGCCAAATTATCCTCTAGTTCAAATACATAGTTTAATATAAGTGTCTCATCAATGGCAACTGGATATATTCAAAAGATGAGACTTTTGAGCAGGAAGATTTTGCCCCACTTACTCATTTATCTCCAAGGCTTCATGAGCTGCAGAAATCCTTGCTTGAGGGTTTCTCTCTCTCCAGGCTTTCTGCATTACTATTTTAGAAAAAGAAAATAAGTAAGTCAATCAGGGCTTATGATTAAGAAGACTGGGTACCTGATAATAAATTAATACCTTTCAGCTTGAATTAAAATGAACATTTCATTACCAAGAGGGTTACCCAGATCTCTAAAATCACACTTTTTTTTTTTTTTTCCTGAAGCACTGGGGACTGAACTCAGGGCCTTGTGCTTGCTAGGCAAGTGCTCTGCCACCTAAACCACAGGCCCAGGCCTTTAGCTTTTTTTGTTTGTTTGTTTTTCAGATAAGATTTTATGGTAACTTTGCCCAGCCTGGCCTTGAACCATGGTCCTCGTACATCTGCTTCTTGAGTAGGTAGGATTATAGGCACGTATCACCAGGCCTGGGCCTACACAAATATTTCTAATTTTCTATTTCATTGTTCTTCAGTTGCTAGTATCACACTTTTTTTATGTGCTCATGAAACTATAGATCTAAATGTTATAGATTAAAGAAATCAAGAAAAAGAACACTCTAAAAGAGTGTTTTTATTTCTTTGTGCAGTAATAACATTTGTTGTTAGGAGACTGTATATTATTTTACACATTTTGAAATGACACTGCTATTCATTTCTTCATTTATTTAGACATAATATATTCTCTACCAGTCATTTTCCCAAGTATTTGCTACAGGCTCTGGATATCAGGATCTTTTGAAACCATGTGAAGAATTATGAGTTAGGTCAGTAAAAAGGGCTTGAGTTCAGTGGTCGGTAATATACTATAATCTCCCACCATGCAAAGAACCTTTACCTCTAAAAACAAACAATAACAAATGTCCTGATTTGTTTTATTTATTTATTTTCTTAATTCATTTATTTCACATGTGCATACATTGTTTGGGTCATTTCTCCACCCTGCCCCTCTCCTCCTATGTCTTCTTCCTCCCCTCAGTTCCAGGCAGGTCCTGTTCTGCCCTTATCACTAATTTTGTTGAAGAAAAGACATAAGGAAGACAAAGCGTTTTTTGCTAGTTGAGTTAAGGATAGCTATACAGAGAGATTCCTACTATTGCTTTCATGTACCCATGTGTTATGACCCATGTTGATTCAACTCTAACTGATCTTTACACTGATTCCTTATCCCGTCTCATGATAACCTCTGTTGCTTTAAGGTTTCTGTATTAGCTCCTCTGGAGTGGGGACATCAAATGCTTTCATGTTTTGGGTTTTCAACCTACTCCTATATCTCCCTTATGTACTCTCCCCTTCTCATGTGATCCAAGTCCAACCACATTGCTGCATTTGCCCTAGATCTGAAGTCTGCATATGAGGGAGAACATACGATTTTTGGTCTTCTGAGCCTGGCTGACCTCGCTCAGAATGATGTTCTCCAGTTCCATCCATTTACTTGAAAATGATAAGATTTCATTCTTCTTCATGGCTGAATAAAATTCCATTGTGTACAAGTACCACATTTTCTTGATCCATCCATCAGTAGTGGGGCATCTTGGTTATTTCCATAATTTGGCTATTGTGAATAGCGCTGCAATAAACATGGGTGTGCAGGTGCCTCTGGAGTAACCTGTGTTGCATTCCTTTGGGTTTATCCCCAGGAGTGGGATTGCTGGATTATATGGCAGATCTATGTTTAGATTTTTAAGAAGTCTCCAAATTTTTTTCCAAAGTGGTTGCACCAGCTTGCATTCTCACCAGCAGTGGATTAGGGTTCTTTTCTCCCCACATCCTCACCAACACATGTTGTTGGTGGTGTTTTTGATGATGGCTATTCTAACAGGGGTGAGGTAGACTCTCAGGTGGTTTTCATTTGCATTTCCTTTATGGCCAGAGATGGTGAGCATTTTTTTATGTGTTTTTTGGCCATTTGAATTTCTTCTTTTGAGAAAGTTCTGTTTAGTTCAGTTGCCCATTTCGTAATTGGTTCATTGATTTTAGGAGAGTTTAGTTTCTTAAGTTCCCTGTATATTCTAGTTGTCAGTCCCTTGTCTGATGTATAACTGGCAAATATTTTCTCCCACTCTGTGGGCAGTCTCTTCAGTTTAGAGACCATTTCTTTTGTTGTGCAGAAGCTTTTTAATTTTATGAAGCCCCATTTGTCCATCCTTTCTCTTAGTTGCTGGATTGCTGGGGTTCTATTGAGGAAGTCTTTGCCTATAGCTATTTGTTCCAGTGTTTCCTGTTCCTTCCTGCACTAACTTCATAGTTTCAGGTCTAATATTTAGGTCCTTGATCCATTTTAAGTTGATACTAATACAGGGTGATAGACATGGATCTAGTTTCAGTTTCTTGTAGACGGGTAACTACTTTTCCCAGCAACATCTGTTGAAGAGGATGTCTTTTCTCCATCGTATATTTTTGGCACCTTTGTCAAAAATGAGATGGGTATAGTTGTGTGTATTCATATCTAGGTCCTCTATTCTGTTCCACTGATCTTCATGTCTGTTTTTGTGCCAGTACCATGCTGTTTTTATTGCTATTGCTTTGTAATATAGTTTGAAGTTGGGTATTGTGATACCTCCAGCATTGCTCTTTTCAGTGAGTATTGCCTTGGCTATTCACGGTCTCTTGTGTTTCCAAATGAACTTTAGGGTAGATTTTTCAATCTCTGTGATGAAAGTCATTGGGATTTTGATGGGAATTGCATTAAACATGTAGATTGCTTTTGGTAGTACAGTCATTTTTACTATGCTGATTCTACTAATCCATGAACACAGGAGATTTTTCTATCTTCTGTAGCTTTCCTCAATCTCTTTCTTCAGGGATTTGTAATTCTCCTTGTAGAGGTCATTCACATCCTTTGTTAAGTTTACTCCTAGGTAGTTAATTTTTTTGAGGCTATTGTGAATGGAATTGTTTCCATATATTCCTTCTGTTTGTTCGTTGTTGCTGCATACCCTTATTTGTTTTAAAATTTTCATTTTTTAAGTCAGCTTCTTAAGAGCATATAGAAATTTCTTTTTAAAAATATTTTCTTTACCTATTTACCTTGACTAAGTGTAATAATACAAAATATACCAGTGGGATTATTTGGAACTTAAGCAGTATAAGATGCACGCTAAACAGAGTATCTAGAATGGAAAACACATATGGACTCTAGTAACCAAGGCCATCTGCCCCTTCAATGCCAGTAAACCTAAAAATTGGCATCTAAGTCACTAAAGTGTTTTATAAACCATTGGATTCAGTGAATTCTAGCTTCAAATTGGAAAATCATCAAGGAGACAAGACCCTTCATTCCATCTCACCTGTTAATTTCACGGATTTATGGTTTCATGTAAGATTTATATTCAATTAAGCTTTGATATATTTTTTAGGAATCATGTTCTAAATAATGAGTCTCACTTCTATATTGATACCTCATTGTGGATAAGCCCTATTTAAGTATCAGAATTCTGGGATATACTAGTCAGTCAGTAATGTTTATTCACTGGGCTTTGTAGAACAAATATTGTATAAGCAGAAACCTTGATACTTAAAACAAGTTGAGCACTCTCCCACTAGCAACTACTGAAAGGATTTTCCATACTTGCATCTGCAGGACGTAAGTGGTCAGAGTCACAAGTAAAGAATGTCTGGTGGTCCTGGGCAGAGAGATTCATGTCATAGTAAGTCAGCGGCTCTCGTCCTGTCACCCAAGTATACCTGAAGAGGGGAAATAAGACAGTCAGAAAGTTTGAGGGAGGATAGCTGCACTTAAAAGAGTAAGCTGTAGAGGAGTTGAAATGTAAACCACTAACTGAATACTAAGATGGCTTTGATAATGAATAAAAAAAAGCATTTAAAAAATCATCCTTTTCTCCCTTCAGGAATTACATGGTAGGGATGAAATAAACATTTTCCCGTATGTTTTTGCTGTAAAATTTTACTATTCCTTGCTCATTAAAACCTTCCCTATTTAGTACTATGAATAGACATTTCCCAAAAGTTATGAAATTCTAATTTGCCTAAACACTTCACTAAATTAAATTCAGGTGAGCTTCAAAATGTTTTGGTTATATAATGTATGTGAAAAGAATAAATGCAGTAATTCTAAAAACTACAAATTTTTGTACATTATCCCAAGTCCAATACTAAAATATTTATAAAATAGGAAAATCAAAACATTTGAGGATAGTATCAAAAAATGAAAGTACTAAACAGACTGTAACATGACCCCTAAATGAATCAGCCAAAACACTGGCTGCTGTCTTTGCTCTCTGAACCAGACTCACTGGTTTCCCAACCTGTCAAAATGCTTACCGATTATATTCAGCACCCCTAAATAAATTTAGTGGATTTCGCCATACTTTGCATTCTACAACAAAGAGAAAAATGAAAATGTTAACACATAAGTTCAGTGATATTATAAGGTTAACAGAAAATGTGACTCAGACACCAGGACTTTGGAACGTTCACCTAATCTCTCTGGGTCCAAGATTCCTCATTTGTCAAATCCAGGTATATGGCAAAATTAGCTATTAGCTAATAACTTCTATAGTTATTTCAGGAAATCCAAACAGATTTCACAAATTTAATTCTAATAGGTAAAAGGTACAGGCAGAAGTAAAACTGCTTTCTGTTACTCTAAAGTATATCTCACAATAACATCATCTATAACAAATTAAACTATACAGTTGAATACACAGAACCCTAGACTCTTAATTAAGGATTATGTTAATTCTGATTTTGTGATAATTAATGATATTGTTTTTGTCTTCCTGGGAAGTAGTAATAAGAAAATTAATAAAATAACCAGTATTATAGGGAGAAATGCTATGAAAGTAAATTGTTTTAAAGCATTTGACATCATTAACTTATGCAGACACAGATACTAATCCCTTACTAATATTATGTTAGCTTCTTACAGATCATACCTCTTTGTTATAGAAAGGCCACAGAAACTTAGAATTAAAGTACTTTAACTTAGAAAAATCAATTAGTACCTTTAAGATTGTGTTATAACAAATGCTTGACTAAAAAGCTACAACTTAAAACATTCTATAAATTTTCTGCTGATTCATAATACTAGATTGCTTTGGATTAATACAGATTTATTGGAAAATAAACTCAGTAACCATAAGTCAAAACAACCGTGAGTGGGTGGATATAGGTGTGTGTAATCAAAGAACACACCCAACAACATATACTCACAAATTATTGCAGAAATCCAAAGGACATTAAAGGCTGTGGAGTGGTAAATTAGGACTCTATCCTCAGTCCCATACATCTAACATCTGTTCTTCTACTCATCCATCCACTCATTTATCTATCTATCTATCTATCCAATGGACATTAATTTCAGCACCCAGTGGGGGGAAACAAGTAAACCACAAATTATAATACAGTGTGATAAGAGAGAGCCTAAACCAATATGGGAATTCTAAGTATAATCTTGGTAAATACTTGTTAAAATAGTAAATGAAAGGTCTACATACAACAAGAATATGTGTTTTCATTAATGAAGATAAATTAATCTTTAAATTGGAGCAGAATTTCACTTTAAATTTACTCAATATTTATAAATAATGGCCCTAATTTTTTGTCGCTTAGATTAACTTGCTATTTAGTTTTTAATTTTTGGGTGGTACTTGGGTTTGAACTCAGGGCCTCTTGCTTGCTAGGCAGATGCTCTACCAATTGAGCTACTGCACGGGTGAACTTGCTACTTACGAAGTGATAGTTGCTTACTTAATGTGGCATTTTTGAATTTTGCTCCTAAGAAACTCAGAGGACTTGATGGCTATCATTTCATGTGGCACTACCTTGAAAATTATGTTTTCCCTTTAATAATGACTTCTAAACAGAAAGCCCATCAGAAAGTCATGAATACAATGACTCTAGATCATGGCTTAAAACAAAATGGTTAGACAGACAACCATAATCTCAGCCCTTAGGGCTGTTATAACTGTTAGTATCTCATCACTGTCAACTCTTCCTCAGATACTCTTTCAAGATTCATAGTACTCTTTGTAAAGCTTCATAAATATTGCAAGGTTTGTAATTAGCAGATAATGAACACACATTTTATGTTCAAGGATGTTCATGATAGAATTCTTTGAATAAATCAGGCACATTTGGGAGAGGTGGCTCTTCTTCTATTGAATTTCAACTGAAATGTTAATAAAAAGATTATGGCAAATATCTTATTTCCTACAAAAACATTATTATATTACCTGGGAGAATAAGCACTATTTAAGTATCCGCTGACAAATTAGAAAGAAAACCGCCTTCAATTAAAATTTTATCTATTAAATATAAGTTGAAATTTTAAAGTATTTCTAAATAAAAAGAATTCCAAAGAGAAGTATGTGCAAATTTAAAGTGTTCACTGAATAGTAACTAAATGAAGCCATCTTTACCTAGAAGAGTCATGGTCTAGCCAGCAGAGGGTGCAGCAACCATGAAATATGGCTTTTATCACTCCATTAGAGAACTAAACTTAAAACCTAAAATCCTTATTTGTTATTTGTGCCCAGTATTCACTTTTTCAACTATTCCTGAAACTTAAAAGTGAAGATCTAAGTAATTATAATAGATGTAAACTGTTCTAAGCAAGAAAAATGTGATGAGGTAGATAAGAAACAGCTTCACAAGTCATATCTTTTTAATTGAGGGTGAAGGGAAGGTTATTTTTCTTTTAAGAAATAAGCAATATAGATGTTATATATGAACACACATTAAAGTTTTGCCTTAAATGAGGTCACAACTACGTCAATTTCTTCTTTGTTGTTCTGTTCTATAATCTTATCTTTACTACAAAAACTCTCTTAGCCTGGAATTTATAGGGAACATACCCCATAAATACTAGGCTGCCTGATGTGACTTAGTGATATGGACAAAGGGTGAAAATGCCAAACATATTAGAGTATGATGATTTAAGAGAAGAAATAAATTCAGATCTCCAGAGAGTAAGTTTTTCTATTTTCCATATAAGTTCTTATCTTACATGCCTTTGAGGAATAAATTCCTTATTTCAAATCAGATTTAAAATTTTACATCCAAAAGCAATTTTCCATTCTCCATTATCATTGACAATTTTAGTGCCCTTGGAAAATACTAAAAGTTGTTTGGCACTCTGTCAAGAGCTTGCTAATATCATTGATAGTCTAGTTATAAATATGTCCCTGATACAATAAACATACTGCCTATGGTTTCATTTGTGGCATTCCATAGCAAACTCTACCCGCAGCTGCTAAAGGAAAGGTTCTGACATTAGCACTCATGCAAAAGTGCAATTCAAGAGAAAGTGAAGCAGCCCCCATTGAAGTAGCAGTTTTTAGTTCCCAAAGTCTACTGAGCAGATCCACTGCTTTGCCATAATGGAACACTTAATGTTTCTAGGTGGAAGACAACATTAAAAAGTAATGCTTTCTGCCATCACAGATTTCTAAAGGAAATGCAAATCTTTTTTGCAGCCTTCTTTCTCACCATTTCCAACTAATTGTAAATGGATTTTATTCATTAATCCTTGCACCAGGCCCTGGCTTACAAAAGCAGATATGTTTATAACTTAGAGGAACTTAGAACTGTGGCAGAAAAGCAAACAGCATATTGAGCCACTGCCTGGCAATCAACCTGAAGAAGCTCTACAGGTGGAGTTAAGTGTTCTGACTTGCCCCTGTGTCATAGCCCTCAAGGAAAAAAAGAATTCACTTCTCAGTCAAAAGGCTCCAAAGTCACAAGACTTTTAATTATATAGAAAAAGAAAATATTCTACCCCCAACTTGCTTAACTAAAACAATTTATTTCTAAAATTTAAAAAGAAATATAGAAATCCCCATTCTTAGGAACTTCAAAATATATAAATTATGAATTCATAGCCCAATAAGATTTGTTATACTAAAAAGTTACCACTTTTTCTCCAAATCTTAAATCTGAAAATAATATTACAAATAGCAGTAGCAGTAACTTTTATCATACCTATAAGCTTGGTTTTCATTGATCCTTTCTTTCTACAAAGGGGTTTAATGCTCATCAACTAACCCTTATATAAATTAGTGAGAGAAATATATTAGACTGTTTTACAGAAGTAAAAGATTAAGTACAGAAATGCTAGATAATTTCCCCAACATCCATAGTAAATGAGATTAAAGACTGGTATTTAGACTCCCTATTTCTTATTATTCTATGCAACAAACCTCCACCTTGCAACATCCTACCCAAAAATCCTGTGACTTCATCAATTAAATTTTCATTAGAAGAGCAGTTTTGAAAACTTTTCTGAGAAAAGTTTAGCAAAGCTTTTTAAAGTACAATTGCCAAGGGGTCTAACCTAAAGTTTCATTGTATATATTACAACAACCAGATGAATTCCAGGCAAATCAAATTCTGACATGTGACTTTTGCCTGCACTTATTAGCTTTGATATTCAGAAAAGAATACCCAATCCTCTACTTCATACAGATCAATTTTAAGCAATCATTAAGAGTCAAAGTAAGGGCTGGCCGAGTGGCTCAAGAACTAGCTTGCTTGCCTAGCAACCTAGGACTGCCAAAAAAAGTTACTATTTTTAAAGAAGTAAGCCTTGATTATTTCATAGCTATTCAAAATAATTATTTTGAAAAGTTACATGTAAATGGTTTTCAATTAAATATATAACTGCTCAAACTCTTTTGTGAAATACGAAAGCATATACGAAAATACAGTTTTGAGACCCATTCTATTGATCTGCCATATTCACGACAGTATGCTACTTTCTTCAAAAATATTGCCAGGGTGGCTAAATCTTTAAATTCATCTGGCATTCATTTCTCACTGGTCATTTCTGACCTAAGTCAATCAACTCAACAAATAATGCAGAAATTGTGAAATAAGTTTGTTAAATAAATGTTCACCAGCAACTAAAATTAGGTGTTTTCTTTTTAACCATTTAGGAATCTAATCTGTCTTAGAACATATAATTTAGTAGCATAAGGTTTTGAAAAGATATAATAAGTACTGGCTAAAGTAATCACTTTCAGCACATGCGTTAGATTTTGGCCAGCACAGATCAAGTTTAGCCTCATTGGACTATTAAAGAGCAACCCCAAAGGTTCCCAACACATAGCAATTTGCAATTTTGCAAGTGAAGTATCTGAAATGCAAGCCCTGAAAGACCTGGATGTAAAAGAGTCACAGAATTAGTGAGTAAGCCTAGCTGACAATATAGTCATATCCCCCTAGTGACTGTGGCATTTTCCCTAATTATATTCATAGAAGTCAGTTCATCTGGAAGACACTGCCAGGGCTCTGGTATTTCCTCATGACCTAATTTAATTTCCAAAGTACTTTGTCAAGTTGATGTTACTGTTATTCTCATGTTTTCAGATTAAGATACTAAGACTTACTTAGAAAGTAAAATAATATGTCCAGGATCATAAGTGTCAGAACAAAGAATAAGACCATATCTGTCTGACATTGAGCCTAAACTTTCAACCATTGTCCACTGAGCTACTTCTAAAGTAAGCCAGATTAATGTCACTTCACAAATAATATCATGCATTATGGTACAGTGTTTTAGTAAAATTATTTTCATTACTTAATAATTATATTAATCTTTTCTTTATAGATCTTGCAGAGAGTCTGGATGGTCACTTAACATTTTCAGTCTTTAAGATCCTGGATTCTGAGCCAGGTGTGGTGGTGTACACTCTAATCTCAATGTTGGGGAGGCTGGGGCAGGAGGATGGAGAGTTCAAGGCCAGCCTAGGCTACAGAGGGAGACCTTGTCTCAAACAAAAATAAAAACAAAAACAAACAAAAAAAATTGCCCATTGTCATTCTAAACTTGGACAGCCAACTTTAGCTTACTGTACCTCACCTTTTTCAACCATAAAATCTTGATAATAATAGTATCTGCTACATGGGATTATTGAAACATTAAATGAGATGATATTATATAAAGCTGATGGCAGATGCTAAGAGTGTTGGGTATCATTAGAATTATATGGATTTCTATGCAGGAAATTGTTTTGTTATCATGAAAATTTGGGATGTTTTCTTCAGTATGAATTTCTTCATCACCACTGTGCCTATTATCTTTATTAAATTAGTACTTGAACTGCCTCCACTGATAAAATGAACTTTAAAGTTCAGGTTATATGTTTATATATGATTTCTAGAATTATTTAGCATTTGAAATATGTGTCTCATAACTACTAAATAAGATTAAAATGGAATGATTTGTGATAGGAAGCCAAGTGACTGTCAGCATTTGTCTAAAGATCCAGTTCTATCAAGAGGCTACTAAAGTATCTCAGAGAATTTAAGCCTGACTTTAGCATCGCTTCTCATGCCATGAAGCACCCTCCACCTTTCCAAAGGTGAATGCTGCAAATCTTTGTCTTTATGGCATTCTATTGAGAACAGGCAAATTATCAAAGAGATGTTACCATAAACCCAAATTCTAGCTGTCATTGGGCTCTGAGAATCTCTTCCCTCATAAGCTCATAAAGTGCACTGAATTCAGAAATGGTAGTAGTAAATATGGTGATGTGGTGCAATACATCAGCAGGGTTTATCTAAATTAAATATCTGGAAGAAAAATGGCAGTTTAGCTCCCAAATAAAATGCAACAAGTACAATGTTCACAAACGCTAACTTTAGCCAAACAGGCTAAAGTCTCACTATATCAAGTAACAATAATTAACCACATTTCTCTAGTAGCCCACAGATATTGACTACTGCAAATTTTGAGCAAGTTTTCCTTCAGGCCATTCTTCGCAGATCCAAAAGTTTTAAAATATGTTTTCAGTATTTCCTGCAACTGTAACCATCCTTCTCATTCCACACCTTACTATCCTTAATCCCAAATCATTTTTATGTAGGCCAGGCCTTGTAGATTTTAGTCAACATAAATGATTCTTAAAGGAAAGAACTACACTGAGTTTTCATACAGACCAATGTTTAAAACTAATATTTTCAATTCATTTTTAACTTTTCCTATGATTTTTTTTTCAAATAAGCAATGTCATTAGACTTCCTTTGCCAATGTTGGTGGCACTTACTGGCCATATTATATTTCATGTAAGATTCAGCAAAAAGCTGTCTTTGACATTCTAAGAAAATCAAATTTCTGTTATTAACATAATAGTTATTTTATTATTATGAAGACAACAGGAATTTTAAAACAAATTTATCTATTTTAAGAAAATACATTAATTGCTTTCAGCTTTGAACCTTTTCCTCCCCTTTATACTTAGCTGAAAGCAAAGTCTGAAATAGAAAGTGATTAAAAATAGGTTTAAATTCAGAAGATATATTTTTGTAGGATTTTTATTATTCAAAAATAAAAACCAGTACAAGAGACGTGGAAAATGATTTAGTCCCATGGCATCTGGTACTTCCATACCTATGTACCTATTTGTTGAGCTGAACTAGCCAAACATTAGAAATCCATGTGTCAAAACAAGGTGGGTAGATTAAGCCCTAAATATACTTAGGCAAGATAATTTTAATTTTTCTGAGGGTAACTATTTAAACATGGTAATGAAATCAGATCATATAGGCTATATCTATTAAATATGAAATGAATGGAAATACAGAATACTAGTAGACATTTACTAAATACTAATAAAATTGAATAGTAATATTCAAAAATTCAGTGTTAGCCAGGCTAAAAACCTGATATAAATAAAACTAAGAACTTCAATAGTTATGATTGTTGAATATGTTTAATTTTCTGTTCAGTATTTTGGGTTTTTTTTGGGGGGCGGTTTGGGAATGGTTATTGCTGTATTTGCCAGGCTGGTATTGAATTCATGGGCTTGAGTAATTCTCCTGTCTCAGTCTCCTATTTAGCTGGGACTAAAGATGATTACCAAGCTGAATATACTTTTTAAAGGGTCACAGGTTCTCCCTTACAAAGAAGAGCACTGAGATTCACATAATGAATAAGGCTTAATCAAAACATCTACTTTTTAAAAAGCAAAACGACAGTGATAATAGTAAGAGTATAAACTCTTCATTGCATTAAGGAATTCAAGAGATTTAAGTTGGGTACAGAGAAAGGTGGGACTTTGTTGAAAACATAAATATTCAATATAAAGAATGCCTTAAATGAGTATGCTTTCTGTTTCCAATCTGATAATTTTTATAATGTTCTGCATCATTCAAAGACACAGTAACCTGAGTAAGGCAACAGCACATTTAATCTGTGGGGGGTCTTCCCAGCACATACAAAGTGGTAATAATTACCTACTATTGTTTATATGATGATGACTAAATGATTAAGATTCCTAACTACAATAATGAGCCACATTTATTAAAGTATCTAGTTAGAGTAGTGTTTTTGCTTTGTTTAGGTCTCTTTCTGTTTCACAAAGTAGAATTTATAAAGCCCCAAACAATTTTGTTACCTGGATGGTACCATCTCCACCTGTGTACCCTTTAGTGAAATAAATGTGTACCAGAAGCAGCCCAGTACCACTCATGTATGGCTGGCAAAGGGTCTATTAAGGCATTAAATCAACATCAGGAACAAAACATGTAAAATGCTTCTTGATGCTTATAACCTAGCTAGAAATTTAGGAAATGTGGACTGAGTTATTATAAACAGGAAGAAAAGGATCCAACCTAGCTCTTTAATTTCTTCCTCTTCATCTTTCAAGTTTCAGAACTGATGTCCTCCTTTTCCAGAAGCAAACCCCTTCTCCCAAGCTGGTCAGGAACTACTCCTTTGTTTTCCATAGATTTGGATGTTTCCCTCATATAATCAAAGAGCTTATCACTTTGTTTCCTTCAGGAGACAAGTTCCATGGGGACAAGGACTTTGACTTTTCTTTAATCATAATATTCATAAGAACTAGTATAAACTCGGGTTCATAATAAGTACTTAGGAAATGTTTACTGAGTTGACAAAGAGATTAAGCTAGGAAATTATATTCTTTCCTCTTTTTTTATAAGCACAGAAAGTATAGGTCTTGTGTGAACTCATCTGCTCACTGAACTTCACAGTAGACACTGTGAAAGATGGGAGATATGTTACAAAAATAACTTTTAAATTTCAATGCTATTTTAAGAAAGCATTGCTAATGAGACACTAAAGAGCAACAAAAGCACACAGAGTATGTGCAACCTATGAGAGAAAGCATCTCAGGAGATGGCATAAGTAAGCACAAGAACAAAAAAAAAACATTTCTAAGTACAAGACCATGTGAAACACGGCACGTACAAGAAATGAAAAGTGGCTTCATGTGACTAGACAACTAGCCTCATAAAAAAGGAACTGGATTATGACAGAAGTCAAAGCTGTGAGACAGGTTAGCAGCAGCTTACATTGTACTGAGGAATTTGGAATGTGGGCTTTCCCATCAACAGAATGGGTACCAAGGAAGTCTTTAAGCTGATGAGTAATGTAATAACATTCTGCAATTATCACAGAAGAAAATGTATGCATTCACTGAGACTTAATAAAATACCAACAATAATGCTGGCCTCAGGTTGGGAAGGTGACCTAAATGACCATGAGCTAACTCAAATGGGAGAAAGAGTAAAATTCATCACATAAATATTTCCTTTGCCTGGGGTTCCTACAGCCTACTTCTTTGGTACAGGTTTGTCAAATATCTCAGAAAATGAACTGCAGTGTTCTCTGAAGCTTAATTTTTAAGAACATTCTTGCTGTCTTATATTCAAAATAATTTCATAAGAGACTTTCCGTACCTGAGACACTTTGCCTGTTGGAATCGGAGTCCCCGTTACTAGAGTTAGAATTGTTGGAGGAGTTGTTGTCAACCCCTCCCAGAAGGGGGCGCAAGTGGCTTACTGACACTTGTTCAATGAAGGATGTTCCGTACTTGCGAAAATACCACCATTCAAATATCTAGAACAAAAAAAAATCATATTACGATCTTTGTTACCACTTATTATTTATGTACAAATGCCTAAAATATATGTTTACTAATTCTGTCCTCCTTTGAAAAATGTTTAATTCATTATAACACAATCATGTATAAAAGAACACTGTGAAGATCTGTTCTATATTATTTTCCTCTAAATTAATATAATATTCAAATAACATAATCACCTTAGCTGAAAGACAGCACCAGAAATGCTTCTGAATAAGCCAGTTTCAAAGTATAGCTTATAAAATGTTTTAATTCTTTGTATTTTGTAAACTCATACCTGCATAAAATTTTAAGAGAATACTTGGTGGTTGTTGTTTTTTAAAAGAAGACCTTCTAGAAAACTGCTGGTTTAACAGAACAGAAGAATGAGAGGGATCCAGGCACAGAGGCCTGCACCTGTAATCCCAACTACTCCAGAGAAACTGAGGCAAGAGGATCATTTCTGTCCAGGAGATCAAGGCCAGTCTAGGCAACAAGACCCTGCCTCAAAAAGAGAAAAGGGAGATCATTTTATTGTGGGTGACATCCAACTGCTGAAACTCACCAATTTCCCTCTTGTTAAGAAGTGTTTTATAAATACAAGCCTTTGTTGCACACCATTAATGCTTTTTAGTTCACAAGTTTACCAATAATTATGTACTATGAATTCCAAAAAAGAAGAAAAATAACTTTAATGAATAAAAGAACAGTAGTGCTTAGATAACTAGACTTAAGTCCGGACTTTAAACACTGCAAAAGTGAGTGGCTTCCTAAACCCTTCTTAACTGAACCCCCTGATGTCTCTACAGTGAACATCACTGTTCAAAGTTGCTCTTTCCCCACATCCTTTCTTCCCCTCCCATCTCATTTGGGATTTGTTCCTCCCATAGTTAAATCATCCCACAGAAAAAACATTATGAATCAACTACAAGTCAGCTGTGGTGATTCATGCCTGTAATTCCAGCACTCGGGAAGGAGAAGGATTGTGAGTTTGAAGACAGCCTGGACTACATAGCAAGATCCTATCTCAAAATTAAGAAAGAAAACAGAAAGAGAGAGCGAGAGAAAGAAAGAGAAAGGGAGAGAGAGACAAAGAATGAAAATCAACTATATTTCAGAGTGTCACATGACAGTTACACTGTATTTTTATAATACAGAATGTAAAATCTTGCTTATTTCATAAAAAAAACAACATTGCATTATCTACTGCTAAATGGACTTTGGCTATTATTTAAAAACATGTGTTTTCTCTTTTGTTCCACCAAAAATTTCTAGAAAGAAAGAACATCTATGAGTACCAGAAAGAAGTTGCAACCAAACCAATACTATACTATTCCAATACTATAAGGAGTACCTTGATTTAATTCCAGGGAGTTACTCACCTTACCATGAATTTTCATGTTATAATATCCAAATTGTTTCTTTGAGCAGAATAGAAAGAATATAATGAGAAAAATTAAGAGGGAAGAGGACTAATCTGTAGCATTCAGTATACTAGACTTAAGTAAGGACTTCCTAAACACTGCTTTGGCTTAGTTCAAACCCCAGTTCAGAGACAGAGAGAGAGCAAAGAGAGCGAGAGAGAGACAAGAGACGAGAGAGAGAGAGATTGAGAGATTGGTTTTGAAGAAGGAAGTTCAAAATTGATAAATCTGTAGCTCATGGCTCCAGAAGGAATCCCAAGCATGTTATCTGATCTATTTGAATACCAATACCTTCAACTGTAAGGCAGAAGTCATGTTTATTATTTAACTTCAAGGGTCCTCAATTTTTACAACAACCCTATATAAAACATCTACTTCACTGCCTGATGCATAGTTGGCTCTCAAAAGAACAGCAAAACCACCATTTATTACGTTAATAATCTACATGCCTCCAAAAGGTGGAACACCTCACGTACTCTATGGGGCACTCCTCTTTTTGCCAGTTCACAGTTTGGGTTGGTATAGCATAACAACTAGGTTATTAGTGGAAATCATTGTGACAAAGACTACCACTCACTATTCTGCCCTGAACTCAATAAAACTTTCAAGAGATTCATGGCTTGTACCTATTACAAGAGGAGAAAGGGTCCAAAGAACGCATTGGTCACAGAAGTGGCAGTGGCTCTCAATCACTAGTGAAGAAGAGCCTTCACTGCCCTAAGTATTTGCCTTGCTGTCCATAGTGTACTAATGAAATACTTGCCATGCATTACTCCTTACTTCATTGATTCCATCATACAGTACTGAGTTACAAGAGTCTGGCCCCTGCCACTAACAGCTCATGCCACAGATCCACAATGCTTCATGCCCATTCCCAACACACACACACACACACACACACACGCACACAAGTACACACACACTTGAAATTCTTTACATATCTCAGTTTCTCGAGCAGAACCACAGAACATCAGCATTAAAAGGGATCTTAAAGGACTAGTACAGAATACATTTACAGATGAGGAGCAAAGAACAAGGACTACCCATCAAGATGCAATGACGTGACCAACATCACACAGCAAGTTAAACAGTTGCTTAGCCTTAAGCTTCAACTCTCTACCACTATCTTACAAGCTCTTTTTATAATGCCCTTGCTTTGTGTAAACAGAAATGTAGCCTTTCATTTCCATCTAAGGGCCTTCTGACACTGCCTTCTGTGCTTTCTTAGCTACAAAAACCAGCCCAGAAGTAGTCTATCAAAAGGTACCAGACAATTCATCCTAAAAGGCAAATGACTCAAATTAACTGGACATTTGCATTATAATAGAAGACAGACCTTCCTCTCAGTATTTTTAATGCAGAAATAATAGATCTCAGTATAAACTGGGTTATTCACACAGCTTTTTAGGGGTTTAGGGGAAGAGGGTCTTCTCAGGTCTGTCACATCAATAGTAGAGCCCCTGCTGTATACCGGGTGCTAGTATAAAGACCCCTATCCTTCCAATATGTATTGAAGAAAGGAAAGATTTGAAACTTCAAACCAAGTCTTTTAATTTAAAGTCTTAGTATAACAATCTTCTCCTTATCCTGAAACATGTCAGGCTTTGGGTGAGCACCTAGTTTAAAAGAGCTGTCCAGATCCAAATGGGCAGATGGTGTTATTTAATACGTACATATTTGGTGTCACTTTGAATTCATTTCCCTGGTGCATACTTACAATGTAAACAATAAAGCTTTCATAAACAAATATGGATTCTAAAAGTAGTTCTTGGACATGCTAGCAGCTTAATGGATTTGCCACAGTAGAACAAAAATAGTTTCTAATTTGCCAAATCACCAAAAACTTAAAATATAAATCTATGCATTTCACAGCCTTAAAACCTTAACTTCTCTACTGTCTTTCTTCCTATTCATTCTACATGACAATAACACAGATCAAGGAAGATGAGAATTAAAAAGTATCAATTGAGTTTGGGATTTAGGAAGCCAACGATGACCTACCATCTAGTTCAAAGGCAAATGCCCTTTTAAGTAGAGCTCTGAGTTGGGTGACCTTGGCTGGTTCTCCTGATTTTCTGAGGCTCAGTTTCCTAATGTGGAATGTAAGGTTAGAGTCAGCACTCAGTTTATGCTGGATGGGGAGGGAAGATGGACTGGATTGACAGATATTAGAAGATTGAATGGATGAATGATGAGGGCTTGCCCAATTGATGTCATTGGATATAATCTAAATAAACAGCAGAATTATGAAAGGTTTTATGTTTATTTTTATTATTATAAAAAAGAGAGGCTCACACATATTTGTGGAAGGTAACAAATCCAGTGAAAAGAGAACTGGAAGGTGGGAAAGAGTACAAATGACCAAGAGTCCCTATGCCAAAGTCCCCATACATTCATCTTACCAGTTCTAGTTCTGAAACAGGAACAAAGAGAAGAATGAAAGAACAGAGGGGCATATTCTATTCTGGAAAGTGAAATATGATTAGAGCTGTTTCATAGGTAAAAGGGCAACAAAAGGGCAAAATTGTGTAACACTGATTTCAGAGGAAGTATAGGCAAGGCTTATCTTCTGGGTATAAGGGAGGTAGGGATGGAATTAGGAATGTGAATGCTTAAGAGATAGTTGGGACCTACATCTTGCAGGACAGAAGGGCCATAAGCTATATGTTTATTTAAAACAAAGACCCATTTGGCCAGGACTCACTTACCGATGCCGAGTGACCTCTTCCATTACTATTGCATAGATGCAGAAAGGGTGACCAAGGGGCACTGGGCTTGGGTCAGAGATCCAGGTTTACCACTGGCCTAAGGTATAAACTTGTCTCATCTTTACCCAGAGAAGGGAACAAAAGTCTGGCAAAGGGACATAACCCCAGCCCTTCTACCTATCTTGAAGACTGTAAAGTCGAATCTTTCCTGAAGATGCCATGAAGGTCCATGTAACAAGACAACTTGTTTTGAATTGCCTGTTCTCAATATAAAACACTTTTCTTCATGAGTCAGGGACTTCCCTAGATGCTATACTGTACCCCAAATGCTTCAAGATTCCCAAATAGCAGAACCTTGGTAATTCCACATCAATTCTTTTAAACCCATGGGAAATAAAAGATGTCAAACCCTGAAATTAGCTAAGTGGTTCCTAAGAATTAAAGTAGAGGCTGATGCCACAGGAGGATAGACACAATGCGGGAGAGAATGAATATTAAGCTGCTTGGCAGTCTACTCCCAGATGGAAAGACTGCCATATTGACACCTACTTTAAGTCTTCAAAAATATAGATGGTAGCAGTTTTTTTTTTTTTAACAAAAGGAGATGATCTGAGTTTAAGTGAGATAAACAAGACAATTGGCATGCATTATAGTAATGACTGTAAACTTTGTAGTTTCCTTTTGAAACTCGTTTAGATTAGATGGCTTCTAGGGGTTCCTGCCCCAGCACTGTAACTGCATGACTTGTAAGCCTATCAATTTGTGCTTGAACACAAATAGGAAAAAAAAAAAAGAGGCAATTTTGTCTTGTTATCTACAACTGGCTTGTTCATCTTCACTTCTGCCATGTCTAGTCATTACTCA